TTTACATCTTACAAAGCTCTTCTACATATAAATTGCATGGTCACCTAGTAGAATTGGCAACTGACGTTAATATCTAAAAACTTAGAAGCTTGAAAGATGGGCGTTATGATCGTTGCGCATATTAGCATTTTGCTTATGTAATCTATCTCTTGGATAGCATGCTTCTATATTGTCTGGCAAAACTGGTGTCTCTAATGCTCCGTTTGGTAGGGAGGATGGAAAATATGAAGGATGAAAAGTAGAAAGGATACATTTTTTATCTTTCAAGGATAGAAAGTAGAAATGATATACTTTCCTTCTTTGTGTTTGATTGGATGAATGGAAAATAAAAATAAATTTTTTTTTTGTGCTGGTTAAAATTAGGGGGTGACAATCGAGTTGTATCATGTCAGATTCGTGTTGAATCATTACAGGTTTGTATCGAATATTAGTCAAATCTAACTTAACTCATTTAACTAATTATGTAGTGTCGAATTGCAAATTGACATGTTTATTTTCGTATCGAGTTCGAGTCGTGTCATCGTGTTGAATCGAAAATTTTTATATGAAGTTAATGTATACATAACATATGTATATATAAAAAAATATATAAAGAAATAAGATACATCTCAACACAAATAATTAACTATTACTTTTCTTCCGATTTTAGAGGGATTGATTTTGATGAGTTGGAAAGAAAGTTAATTCATCAACTTTTTCATCCTTCCTACTTTTCTTCCTTACCAAACATGATGTTTTATTTATCCCTCTAACTTTCTATCCTTCAAACTTTTCATCCTCCCACTTTTTCATCGTACCAAACGGAGCATAAGAGTGATCTGTCAAGAAAAAAATTAATATATTAAAAGGGATTTGAATTTTTTTCTTTATCAGACTCAGAGTTTTCTATATATTATTTTTATTAATTGTAAACAAAAAGTGCTAAAACAAATGTTCTACAAGCACACACCGAGAACCATGGCCGGCCCTAGGCATAGGACATTAAGGTGGCAGCCTAGCGCCCTCAATTGGAGAACAAAAATTAGGGCCCCAAAATAAATAAATAAAATTACGGGCTCGATTTTAATCTATTTTTTGGTTTTACTTGATTTTTATAGTATAGGATTATCTTCTAACAGAATATTTTGAAAATTTTGCAATCAAAAGGTGGTTTTGTTTAGGTTAAATGTTTTGCTTGTTGTTTTATGATGAATTCAAATTACCAAAGAAATAGTTCACAGTCCAAAAGATAACTATAAACATAATTATTTTGCTAGATCTCTTTAACCACATTTTATTTGGCAACCTAATATAAATTTGGTTAATAGACTTTTTATATACAAAATCTGAAGGGTAAAATTTTTTATTATTTTTTAATTTTAAAAATATAAAAAAATTATTTTATATTAAATATTATAGGCCTCAATTGGCATTTTCACTTAGGGCCTTCAGATGTGTTGGGCCACCCCTGCCACAAACCTTCAAAATTGTTGTTTCTCTCAATTAATTGTTGCATAATTTGAAAGTCGATACAAAAATTTAGATTTATTTGAGCTAAATTACATTAAAAAAAGCTTATTTGACTCTAAATGCATTTTTTTGAAAAAAGACTAACAGACAATTTATTACTTCATTACTCTATCTTCTTCTCTATCCATTACTCTCTCTCTCTTCCTTATTTTTTTCTATCTCTTTCTCTCACATTGATAATTTGTTTTTTTTAAATATATAAAGATTTAATTTAATTTTTTCATCTCTCTCTCCCCCTATTTTTTTCTCTCTCTTACTCCCTCTCCTCTTAAAAGGAGATTCAAATCTTTACTCAAATATTTAATGATGAGATTTTACCATATTTTAAAGATTCAATGGTCATTCTTACTCCTTTTTAAATTTGTGTTTGCCCTCATTTAAATTTAGATATCTCATTTTTTAAATTTGAGTTTGTCCATTAGAATTCTTTATATTAAATCAAGCTTTTTCTTCAAATATTTATTTAAATTTAAGTAAAAATTTGAGTTTTGATTGGAGATGCTCTTATATCAACGTTATAACAACACAATTACACTAATCAATTACATCAATTAGTTACAATTATTCTATAATACACAAAACAATTACACTAAACAATTATATAAAATTACAATACCAACTCAATTTATCATTAAGTTATTTATATAAATTAAAGAATTACATCATTTAGTATCACGATATAGTTATAACAATTATATACACCAAATTAAGTTTATCATTACACAAAATTTTTTTACCATTATACTAAATTTAATATATATATAATTGGTGTAATAATATAGCGATACTAAATGGTGCAACTATTTAGTTTATGTAAACAATTGAATGACAAATTGAATTGGTGTTATAATTTTGTGTAATTGTTTGATTTATTATAACGCATGAATAACTGTTAGTGTATTATAGAACAATTGTAATTTATTGGTATAACTGATTAATATAATTGTGTTGTTGTAATGTTCATATAAAAAGAGAGAGAGAGAGAGAGAGAGAGAGAAACAGTTAGAAAAAATAGGGGGAGAGAGATGAAAAAATAAATCAAATATTTACATATATGAAAAAAAATTTATCAAGGATAGATAGAGAGATAAAATAGGGGAGAGATAGTGAGAGAGTCTAATGAAATCTTTACATATTTTATTAGATATATAACTGCCAATTAAAAATGAATAATTTAAGAGAGGGTATTTAGGTAAAAAAAATTTGATTTCATTTGAAGATTTTATCTAAACACAATATGTTTTATTAAAATTGAATTTAATAGAGTAAACAACTTATTCATACACTTTTCCTCAAATAAATCTAAAATATTGTACACATAACCAAAAAAACCCTTAATTTGTTGCTAGTTATAAAATATTACATTCTCAATTAATTATTGTCATAATTTTTTTAAAAAAGTTAATATATGTGTCTGACAAACTAGTGTTGTGACAATTTTTTTATTAGTGTAAACATCATATGACAGTACTAACATTAAATCTTTTTTCACGGAGGTTATTACGACGACAACATATTTTACAAAACCATCTATTGCTCCCCCATTTCTCTCTCTCTCTCCCTCAAATATTTTACAAAATATTTGTAACACTACGAATATTTTGAAATTTATTTATTCAAATACTGTAATTATAAAATTACTAGACATAACCTGTATCTAAAGACATGGTATGACGTAAGTAAAAAAGTGATGTATTGAAAAAGAGAAAAAATTTAATGTAAATTATTTTGAGAGAGATGTTAGTAGCCGTTGAACGAGTCTATTTAAAACTGTTAAATAAACTTATTGAAATATGTCTTATTTTATATTATAGATTTGTCAAACTATAATTGTTTTTGAAAAAAAATATTTTAAACTGTGTTACTAATAAACAACTTTAAAGTGCGTTTTCAAAAAAAAAAAAAAAGGCAAATAAGTTTAAAATTATGATATATTTTTTTCTTTTGGGACAAAACATGCACATAAAATTATGATATTTGAATAATCAATTCCATGCATATATATACATGAATATTATGTACATGATGTTGCTCATTGTGTTTAATGGCTACATAGGTACATTATCATGTGTACATCACTGGGACTGGAAAGAGTGGAGAATCCATACATGCGTCTGCTCATTTTCATTCATCTATGTAAATGGATATACCTCAAAATGAATTATATTAATAGGTAGATAACTACGTATTTAACCCCTCAACTATAACATTTATATCAATCAAACTCATTTTGTATCAATTTAACTCCTAAACTATATAATCTAACTAAATGCGACTTTTATGTTCAAATTTGTTGTCAACTTTAACAAAAAAACCCCCCGTGCACATCACGTCACTCATTGGACAACAAATCCTATTGGGGGTTACAATCCTTTCAAAGGTTCCTCGAGGATCGATTCACTTTGAATAGATTCACACAGCACAAAACACCTCCATTGGCACACAATCATGTTTTTAAGGTAATTTCTTATTGCTCATGTCAACATTCTTATTTCTGATGTCTCCATAAGACGTCACCAAAAACCTTCCCCAATTTTTACCTCAAGTTATTAGTTTATCACTCTGAAATCTTCAGCCAAGAGCCTAGGGTATGCTTGATCTGTAGGAGGACATTAACTAAGTTACAGATGCATATCAACCCAAAACCTCACCCCAAAGGTCATAAATCCTAACTGCTTAGAAGGGTTGCCCCACCATATGTTTGATCCTCACATGGGTCAATTGTGAAACAGAGATAAGCAAACTCATACACATATATTTTCTGCTATATTAGAGCAAATCTTACCAGATACAAGCAAACTCAAACATGGTAAATGTCAAGTACTATGAATCCCAACCTTGGCCTACAACTGAAAAGCAGGAAAGCAAAACGACCAGCCATAAATAGCAGAAGTGTTCATTTCCAAAGATGTTCACACGTGTGTGTGTGTGTGTGTGTTGCACGCACGCGTGCAAGTGAGTTCTGTCAACACCCCTAACTTATATACATCATCAGATTTGACGCAAGTGAGCTTGGAAGACTTGATGAGGCTTCATGCATACAAGTTACAATATATAGCACATTGCTCCCTTCCAATTGATCAATATATTTCAAAACCAAAAGCAATCCAATTGAACAGACAAAAGGATCACCTTATATTTTACAAAACTATCTCTACGTTTTAAGGGGCAGAATGCAATGAAATACCTGATGCAAAAAGCCCATATCATTACCTCCATGTTGCAATGCTCTATATTCTCTATCGTGCACACATAAAAATCAGAGTCCACGAAACTCCAGCTATCACTCTTTCCCTGAAAAATTTTGAATCTATGCAACACAACATTGCCACAACAGTTGACCACAACCTCAAATTTTAGTGCAGATCAGATAAATGAGACAGGAGGCTTGATTCAGTATGGCAAAAACACGTTTCAGAAGCAGCCCCACTGAAACCCAGACTGTAACCACTTGTTCCCAGGAATGATTCATTGACGTATCACATATAGCTTCAGCTCAACTTTACTGCGGTAGTAGTCTGATTCAACTCAACCCCATTTTCTTCTCCAGTGGAAGGATTGAAAGGCAGCCCCAAATTAAATCCATTTTCCTTGATCAATCCGAAGGGACTTCCTAGAGAAATCATGTTCCTTGTTGGTTCTGACAATTTGACAGCAAACTCTTTGGAAACAACCTGCTGCTGTAACGTTTCCATACGCGTTAAAGATGGCACATCACCCTTACAGTACCTGCGCCACATATTCCGATATGTTGACTCCAAACCAAGGATGTATTTTGATCCATTACAAAGAGGGGACTTGGACATGAGATCTCGTAGACCCATTTTCAATTTCGAGAGTGCAGTAACATCCGAAGCTAACTGCAGGGCAAGTTGGACATATTCATCTTCAGATTTTGCAACCAGGTGTCCTAATCCTACAATGCAATAACCATGTATCCATGTTAATTACACTATGAGCAAAAGATTCACAAAGGCTATAAATTCCAGACCTGCATCAGCACAATCAGGCTACCAGATAAAAAGCATACTTAGGCACACAACTTGTCAGCGAAGAACAAGTGCTTTAAAAAGGAAATGAGAGGTCCCATAATTTTCCATGCTTTTGCTTCACATTTTCTCTGCTAGAAAAGCCCACACACCATGGACATTTTCCTTACCTCTTCAAAATGATTCCAATTCTTTAAACTATATTTTCTTATGGGCCTTATCCATAAGAACTATTTTGACATTGCCACATCACTGCAGTTCGTAGAAGCAAACCAAACCCTATCAGAGACCAAAAGGATCAGCACTCACTACCTTAGTATAAATAACCAAATTGATATGGATGAAACATTTTGTGCCTTTTCCTCTCTTCATCTCTGTTATTATTATTCTTTGGAGACTGGAGTACCAATTACATGTATTAATTCCCTATAGAAGGAAAGGCGTTGCAGGTCGAGAGGAAGACTATCAATGCTTCCTATTGAAGGAAAGGCATTGCAGGTCAAGAGGAAGGCTATCAAGTATCAATGCTTGAAATCACAATGGAGGCCCCAAAGAATAAGGCTCTCACAACAGCAAGTTGGATGTGAAAGACACTAACCATGACCAAGGGCTCTAGAAGGGGTGGAATGGGTAAATGCCTTGACCAGCTCTATTCGTGCAAAGTGGCAGCCCTCAGTACTTTGATAATTCGATAATGCACCACTGGATGAGGGGAGTTTACGAAATACTTGTTACAACAACCAAGGAAAAAAAAAGAACAGGAAAGAACCCAGAACTTTAAAACTTTCTTTATTACACCCTAAAACCCCCTTTAGAACCCAGAAACCATAAGTTAAAAGAAAAAGACATCATAGGAAAAATGCTTTATTTTGTCATATAAAACCATAAAATACAAAAGGTCTCTAAAACTTTGAACAAACCTATTTTTCATTGTGAAACAGTGAGAAAATTTGAAGATTATATCCCTTTCATCTTCTGCAACTTTTATTAGTATACATTTTCTTCACTTAATAAAAAACTAAAGGTAAAACATATAAGAAATTTTAGCATTTCATACGACCGGAAAGAAAGATCAATGGCATCTTTTTGTTGCCCTTCTCTAAGCATAGTTTTTTGGATCTTAATCTGAGTCTCATGCGGATTCTGTCTTTCTTCATAGGCATGTATGGCATACAAGCATTGATTTTTGTGAAATTCACAAATCAAGCACATCTCACCAACACAAGGAACCATTCAAAAGATTGATCAAACATGATTAATTATGATTGGAGAAGAGAGCTTCTTACCAACTGTGTTTAGGAGAGACACACCAACATTATGAGCATGTACTGAACCTCCCATAGTGACACATGGAACTCCCATGTACAGAGACTCGCATGTTGTAGTTGTTCCAGCATATGGAAAAGTATCCAAGCTACAAAGAAACAATAATATAAAGGCAAGTCCTTAGAGAGGATACAAACGGCAGCAATATCAGCAATGAAAAGTGAAAATTATATTCTGAATTCGAGGGTATAAAAAAATTATACAGGACCAGTTTCTTTGTCAGTCTATGAGTAGCACTAATACACATTCAGAACCAATGGGTGGCTATTGACTCAACATCACAAGTATAACTAAAATGCATCATCAGAATAGCATAATTAACAATTGTATTATGTCAATTTCCCTACCTTCACACACATCATCCGTATCACAAGCCTGTTGCAGGTGTAAAATCATAATATTCAAGAATGCACTAACCATGAATTTATAGCATAGCACAATGAAAAGATCATTTAATTTGTTCTGATTCTTGGTGGGAACACCAATTGATTACAAATGGAGGAAGATGTGGCAAACCAGGTAGGGAAAATTTCTTTTAGTCCCAGTCTATGATGATACTTGTGTAATAAGATTTAACTGATAGAGTAGTATACTAAAAACTTACCTTTTTGTAGTAAAACTTGTTTTATTAATTAATAGAAGTTTGTTCCTTCCATTTTATTGAGAATCTATATGGGCAACATATATGCGTTATATTTAATATATAGTGTGCATGTATGTCTTATATTTTATATTGTAGATAATCTAGTGTGTAGAGTTCAGTTTATGCACCGAAGACTAGATTATCGGATACTTGTATAATATGAGTATAAGTTCACAATCATAAATAGAATTGGATACACTATCAATATGATTATAGTATAATATTCTGACATAGTCTATCTTAACTGTAGGAGACTGTTTGATGTCTCAAATTATTACACTAGTACACTTTGTGTATTGAACAGACCCATGTTGAAATTATTATCTTTTATTGATTCAATAAGATAATAAATACCTCATGATTATTATAATTTCTTATACTCTTAATCCTGAAATATTTAATTGTCACGTGTATATAATGTTTGTCACTTTAATTCATCAAAGAGTGAGATTCATATTAAGTCAATAAGCTCGGTGAATTGGGAGACGATGTTATTTGTATGGTGAAAATTAATTATTAAAGGAAACCACGTCCTAATTTTTAAATGGATTGATAATGTCTTCTTGAGAAAGTTCCTAAGTTTGTACATGTCAAACCCTAGAGGTAGATTTAATTATCCGATATGAAAAATAAGTTGAGTGATAAGGTTTCAAGGAATAAAAGAAATCAATTAAATATAATTGTCAAGAATTTATTTAATTGATGGGCATTTGTAATCTTAAAAATGAAAAAATTATTAAACATATAATAATAAGTAGCTCAAATATAATTTTGAGATAAGGCTCAAGAGATCAATAATAAGTTTTAGTAGACTGACTTATTATCAATGGATTGTAGGATGTTTGTTCTATATTGAACATAGGAATTTTAGGCCCATTAGAAGTCCGGTCCTTATTTTTCGATAGGGTTTCTGTCGTAGCCAATATATAGATGTCTAGACTCTCTAAATCAGCATCAATTCTTTACTCATAGTTTTGAGAGAAACTGAAAGAGAGCAGAAGTTTGGAGGTTCTAATAGCCCATACTGCATCCGGATTCTAACATTGGGGGAAATATGACAAAAAAATACAAGGTTTATCGAGTTGTCTTCCGCATTCATTGTTAGGTTCTGTATTCGTGCTGAGACGAGAGCAATCTTGAAAGTAAACACTAATTTTGTCTTGATGGGTTTTAAAGCAAAATTTTTGGTATTCGATACATACGCGTTGTTAATGGTTTTTGAGATTTTCATTCCAATATTAACTACTTTATTTCTAGAGGGGCTAGATTGACTTCAATTTAATCAGTTTTGGCTAGTAGTCCTATCTATTTTTTGTCTGTCCGTAAAATGTCTTATGGTGGTTAACAGAATTGAGAAAATGATAAGAGATTTCGTATGGGAGGGGAATGGGCAAGGTAGAAAGGATCATTTGATTAGTTGGAATATGGTTTCGAAAACTAGAGTTAAAGGAGGATTAGTATTGAGAAATTTGAAAGTAAATAGCACCAGTTTGAAAGTGACTATGGAGGTTTCTGAGGGAGCAAGATTCTTTGTGGCATTTGGTTATTAAAAGCAAGTATGGATTACAAGCCAACGAATGGGATGCTAATGGATTTGAAAGGAGTAGTTTCTGAAACCCATGAAAATTTATTTCCCAAAGTTTGCCTTCTTTTTCTCAAAGGATTAAATTTTAAATGGGCAACGAGGAGAGAGATTTTGGGCGGATGTGTGAATTGGGCAATTCTCATTGGATGGTTTGTTTACTCAACTTTATAGGCTTTCTTGTCATTATCATTAGACACCGGGTGAAGACAATTGTAGAGGACGTGCGGGACTTAACAAAAGACATTGAGTTTCATGGTCTTGTGCATGGTCTGCCAGAGATTCTGTGTCCCCTATGACCTTTTGGTTTTTGTTGCAAGATAACCCTAGAGAAGAAAGGAGACTACCGTCCTTTTATCTGTCTATTGGTTCAGTGGTTGGTTAACTCTTGAATTAAGGAATATCCGAGTTCAGGAGTGGCTAGCGAAGTAGAATAGTATATAGCATAAGTAGAATATTAGCAGGAGTGAAAGCCGGAGTTGGCGAAACAAAAAAGTGGATTCATTCTTGCATTGTGTCAATGATTAAGTCTTATTCTTTCCTTGTGTCTTGGGATTTTGGATTTCATAGAAATCTCAATGATAGGGAATACCAAGAGACAGTTGATAAGAGTTGGGTAATTGACTCAACGGGAGTGTTGTCATGCAAATATTATTTTAATTCTTTGATTAATGATTCAACTTCCCCAATTTTTTTATCTATCATTGAAGATTTGAAAGGCTAATGTATCTTTGAAGGTGCAAGTATGTGCTTGGGTAATTGCTCATGGAAAAATACATACAAATAATATGATCCAAAGAAGGCATCCATATATCTCTCTTTGTCCTCAATGGTGCATGCATTATGTGCAAAATGGATTGTGGGAATGTTAGCCATTTATTTTTGCATTGTTCGATTGCATTGAAATTACGGAATAGATTGTCCGAGTTGGCTGGGATTTCATGGATAGCTCCAAGTTCTATTAGCAATGTTTTGTGTGGACTATAATGATTTTAGAAGGAAAAGAAAAGGAGTTACACTTTGGGATTGTGCAACTTTTGCTATTATTTGAGTGACTTGGTTAGAAACGAATGCAAAAGTGATTGAAAATAAGTACGAAGGGAATGATGATTTATGGAACTATATCTACTTCTTGGAATCTTTCAGGGCATCAATCTCGAAGGATTTTGCTCCAATTCCTCTCTTTAGTATTGTGGCAAGTTGGCATGCAACTTGTAAATGATTTGTTTTTTTCTTGATTGTAACTTTTGGTAGTGCCTTTGTTTTGTGGCTTGTGTATGGACGCCTTGTCCATATTACCATTATGCTCTATATTTTTCATGTTGTCTTTTATAAAAAAAAAGATTTCACAACTGTCACATTAGGGTTATAGAACATCTTGATAACACAACAAAATACTAAGAACTTAGTCCTAAACCAGCCCACAACCCAAGGCAGCATTGTACTTGTTTGGTATGTACTATAGCTAAATATGCCAATAAATACGTACACAATTGATAATGGAATTCATGTATTTCCTCATTTGCAATATGCAGACGAATTTCCAATTTATAAAAAATTGTTCAACACCTCACTACATAACGGGGGAGAGAGAGAGAGAGAGATTTTGGCAATGCCAAACAAAACCACAAGTTCTAAGAATTCCAAGAGTGGCAGGTGATTTTGTATTATGAACCATTTTTGCAAAAAAAAAAACAAAGCAAAGTGAAGGCATGAAAAATCTGAGTGATCCACTACCTGATATCCATAAGGGCATATGCTTGCATATGATCATGGTTCAGAAGAATTAGAGGCAAAAGATCAACACGCAATGATTCCAACCCCAACTCCTCCAATGTTGAAAGAAATCTCTGCCTAACACTATCACAACAGAAAGGCTTACACTTCACTACAAGTCGAGAGTTTGGAACTGCACATAGAATCCTTGCCCAAACTTGCAGCACTTTAGGTGTTATCTAACAGGAGAAAAATAAAAAATAACGCCACGGCTTATCAGTTAATATAGTTCCATCTTAAAAAAGAACATTTTGAGACAGATGTTTTTTTGACTTCAATAAAATACCTTTGCTAGATTGTTAAAGCTACCAAAAGTAATAAAGCCATTAGAAAGAGCAGGAGTCGGAGGTATGGGCCCAGCTTCCGGGGATGGTGTATAACAAAGGAAGCACTCCGGTAATCGAACCAACTCCTCAACATGCCTGCCCATTAACAATAGAAATGCATAGGAATATACACTCCAATACATATCAAGATCAAAGCAATCACAGACCATGCAAATATGTTCAACAGGGAAATAAAAATGTCACCTACTTTTGTCTTGTGTCAGGAGGGTCAGCCAGTGCATCAGTCATCCTATAATCAATGGTAGGCAAACCAGTTGTATTTGGGTAGCCAATCCAAGTCACCTATTGCAAAGGCAAGACAAAAGAATGTCAGAAACCAGTCAAGTATAGGAGTAAATTGATAGGTATCGTGACAGGCATGGGAAGGAGTTTCGCACTTACTACAGGTGTACACACAATCCCAGAGTTTGGAGATGAATTTTAGGAGTCAAATAATTTATTTTCTAAGTTGATGAGACTTTATTAGTATGTGATTTATTAATTTGATTGCCATTTGGGATTGTCTGGAAAATCGAAGTACTAGGCTTATGTATTAGATGGAGATTATTGCTATTGGAATAATTGAATACTTTGGACTATCCTCTCTCTCATCCCTCATCTTCGCTTTGCCTTCTCTTCATCACGCGCGTGTTCCCCATCACAAATGGCCTACGACTGATCCACCACATCAGGTACCCTCAGACTTTAGCAACTAGTTTTGACATATAATTCATGCCAACAGACTAGATCCACATTAAGAAGCTACATTTCATGGACTCAAGCAGATTTACTCGATCAGTATACATGCCTCAGTATCAAATTTGTCAAAGAAGGTTATTTGCCAGGCTACCTATTTTCAAGCATATGAATATTCAGAAACATTTACTTGTCCTTAATTGCCCCTTTATTTACCCCACCTCAGTCCACCTACAACATAAATGTTGGATCGTATTTACTAGAATGTTTAGAATTAGTGAAGGTCGTGAGATCGGCCAATAAATCATGCATGACTATGTGTGTGTGTGTGTGTTGCGGGAGCGCGCGCACGCGTACTGATATACCAAGCAAATACTAGCAACTAGATCTGTGTGCCTCAATAAAGATTTCCAAGGTTTAGCCACGGCTTAGCTCAGGACCCCACTACTAGTCGTATTTGATTTGGTGTTGCTACCACACATTTCTGCCAAGGTACAGAAAGATATCATCTGAAAACCTTGCACAGTAACTCTGACGGAAACAAGATTACTATTTTCTTATTTAAGAAAGAAAAAACAGAGATAAGCCTATGAAATGCAACATATCCTCTCAACATAGGTTTACAATACAATTTGTGATCTTAACCCACTCTGCATTCTGAATGCACTGCTATCATTCATCATCCCAATAACCGTCTGAAAATGTAAAGTTGACTCCTGCCACCCCACTCTTTTAAAGCAAGCTCTGGACTTAAAAAAAAAGAGTACCCTATTGCACAAAAACTAGTGACCACAAAATGGAAACCATGTTGCAGAAGATCAGGCTCTACCACAGTTGCACATTTGAAATTATTTTTTCTTTTAAAAGAAATAAAGAGAAAGAAGTGCCACAGTAACAGGAATAAAATATTTACGCCAAGATAATAATAATAATAACAAGAAGATTACTGCCTTCGACATACCTGAACAGGTGCAGGCCGGCAAGCCATCATTCCCAACTTATTGTTAGCAGTATGTCCAGTAAGTTCCACCAAGATGTCAACCTTATCTTCTCTCACCATGCTTGCAACCTTCTTCTCATCAATTCCATAGATATCCCTCCATATTCCCCCCTTTTTTAAGACCGACTCTCTAAATCTACTAGTTTTTGTGTCTGCCTGTGACATCATGAAGGAAAGACATACTTAGGGACCTTTTTCTCAACACAAGGCACCAGAGCCCACCTCAAACTTATATTTATGCTTCTAGAGGGAAACAGCAAGTAGACGAAAGTGTCCTACTTAAATTCGACCTAAAGTGCAAATTATATTCACAACAGAAAACAAAGGAAGAAGTCCTATGACAGTACCAATATGTGCATATGTTCTACGTTGTACACTAACAAACTCCAGAACCAAAAAAGATGAATGCAAGAAGTAACCGGGAGAAGGAAGGGGAATGAAATATAAGAAATACCTTCACAACTGCCGAGTAAACAACCACAGTGTAATTCGCATAGTCATGGTGAATGAGGGGTGCTTCAATGAAATATGACACAGAATGAGTAAAATAATCAGGAGATACATATCCAATAACAAGTGGCCTTTCCGGATCTTTTGGGTTGTCCCATGAAGTGTACTGTGGATATAACCTCATGAAGCGCCTGCCCCAGTCTCTGCAAGTATACATTTCATCTCAGGCGGGGTCACCAAAAAGCTATTATAGGCCTAGAAAATCAAAACAGCACTTCATATGATTTTAGAATTTGACAAAGATTAAAAGATGACAAATTTCCAAGGGAATCATTTTCAAAGTTCATCAAAATTAATATGAGAATCTGTTGCAACAAAAGTTTCCTGGCAAATTTTCAAAAGATAAATTCAGAAAAGTCAAATGAAAAAAAGTAATCATCTACATCAATACTAATTGACGAGCATTCTTTATTGTTTAATAGAGGAAGGAAGCTTCTCAAGGAGTAAGCAAAGACTTGTACCAAGATTTAAAAAGAAAATCACACTCTCAATTTTGCTAGATAGAGGCGTAGGCAGGTTGATACATAGGCACAGAAATTTGCAGCTTATGATGAATAGTTATATTGGTCGCTATCAACTAGGCAAATGAAGTTGCATGTTGGAAAGCCAACACATGTAATAGATATAAACTATCAATGACAATGTTCGTGATAGAATTCTTCCATTCTCTTCTTGTAATCTTTCTTTTCCAGTTACAAGGAAATGAAGGAATATTTTCATAATAAAAACTTTTTACACTTTTAGAAAAAGTCATCTTTAATTAACACACAAAAAAAATATGCATGCCATATGGATGGTAGTTAGGTAGACCTGTGAGCCTCAAATAGTTTATCATCAGTTCCTTCATTTATGTAGTTCATCGCAAGCAATCGATTCTGCAAGAAACGGTCAGTCAAATACCGATCAGAGACAAAACTGTTCATGAAGCTCAAAAACAAAGAAACAGAGGGTAATCATAGCACTTCTCCATTACTCATGTCAGATGCAGTCGATCACAAAATTGTGAGCAACTTGTTTCAACATCTAACACAGAACTTTCCAGAAAGCTAAATATTTTTCACAATGAGAACAAAAAAAAAAACTTAACTCTTAATTTTAAGCAGATAATTGCACAAAGGATCGAGACAAACTACTGTGCTTCAACAGAAAGAGTAATATTTCACTGCTGGTAAATCTAACAAAGGAAAACAAAGGAAAAAAATGCCTAGCACACTTAATTTCATCAGGAGAATCGGTTTCCTCTTGCATTGAAAATTAATTGAACATAAGAGGAACGTCATCTTTGACAGAAAAATGAAGTTTCAGCATGCATAATGAGAGGCTATGAAGGAACAAAATCAAGTGATAAACAAAACACCAGGATAACATGTTGACAAAAACCAACCAAGAAACAGCTCTAATCTAATACAACCCAAGACGATTATGAACTCCAAAAGATAGTCCATGCATAAGAGTCCGCTGCAAAATTTTAATCAGAAACATCTGAAAACTAGGAACACCGGTTATCTGATTCTGACCCAAATTCCTTTTATCGAAATAGTATAGATATTAGAGCAAAAACTTTTGCATATTTGAAAAAATTGCAGCTGCCATGAGCCCAACTCCAAAGTTGCCAGTTGACAAGACAAAAAATGGTCCAACAAGGACTGTATACTTAAGATGGAGCTGGATCTCTGGACAGCTATGAGAATAACATGCCAAAGGCATTGCTAATAACTTGCTCCAGCACTTTCTCTCCTTTTCTTTAGTTGCCTTATTTCTTTCTGGTCTGTTTATAGATGGTACAGGAGGGAGTAGTAGATATCAAATTTTTACAACATTTGAGAAGGCAACTCAAGGAAGAGCACATTTCTTTAGTGTCCTCGGTCCTCAACTGCAGGTAGGGTTCTTTGAGTTCTACGATTTTCCCAATTTTGGAGAAATGAAAAGAGAGTGAATATGTCCAAATGAAACAAATTCTCTCATTTTTTTGGTGTTTCACAAGAAGTCATGGACCACTTTTACTGGTAATCATTTTATCCAATCAGCCTGAATGCAAACATTGTCATCTATACTACTTATAAATGTCAGCATCTGTAAAAAAAAATTTGATTTTCTATTTTGACCCTAATTATTATTACAAAGTCAATAATACCCACATATTACTTTCATCCAATTTTTATTCCCTATACCTATTTGACTTCTAAATCTTTTGAACTCTTTTATTATTAGTATTTGACTTCTTGATTCTTTATTACTTTCATCCAATTTTTATTTTCTATGCTTATTTGACTTTTAAGTTTTTCTTTGACTCTTTTATTAATAATATTTGATTTTTAAATTCTTTTAGACTCATTTATTAGTAGTACACATGCATACCTTTTAAATCAATTTCTATATTTGTATGAAGAAATAAAGTATATAGATTGCTATATTAATTGATTTTTTGGTATGTGACAATATCATATTATTACAACACAAATAATAATATTGCAATTTAATCAATTTTTTTGACAAAAAAATGTAGTAAATCTATAATATAATTAGATTTGAAAATTCTCAATAATGACAATCTTATAATGAAAGTTCAATATAAACAAAAGAGGAAGTTTTTAATGGGTTAGAGAGATACCTAAACAAATGACATATTAAATATTGAAAGAGGGGCAGAATAAACCAATAACTAGGTTTAACAATAGTTAAAATAAGAATTCATTATTCCACACATAATTTATTATTCAATTTCATTACATATTTAATTTAAATTTCTTATAAAAATTATTATTTAAATATATTCACGTGCACGTCGTGCATTGCTAGTAGTCATAAAGGGCTTTATCCTTGTCTTCCATAGTCACCTCGAAGGTTTCAAAAATCTCCTCATATTATTACTTAACACGATTTCAAGTTGAGTTACCATACAAAACTGGCAAAAAAGTAGCTGAATAGTTATTTAATCCCAACATCACCAATTTCCATGTATGTTGTTCTCCGCCATCAACTTCATAATTTTGATTATTCAAGACATCATCTTAAATCAGTATTTCAATGGCCCCTCAAGCCATGCATCTCAATTTTCAGTAGCAATACAAAAAGTTCTTTTAATAATAATTTTAAGTTCCATCTAAACCAGAAAACATTCAGAATGAAGTAGAGAGTGACAATACCTGGCCTGCATTTCGAGAATCAGGATCTATCTTAAGGCACTGCTCATATGCTTCAATAGCCAGAGATATATTACCAGCATCTCTGTACAGAACCCCTACACATGGAAAATTTTAAAAAAAGGAATTGATAACAGAACACCTAACAAATAAATATTGAGTTATCAACAGAATAATATAAGAGATCAACATTCTGCACACTCAAAGATGCACTTCTGCCCTTTTCTGAAGGAAAAACAAGGTGGTGTGCGTGTGTGTTGTTTTGTTTTGGGGGGGCGTTATGGAGGTGGACAGGGAGGGGACGCAGGATGATTGCAAAATCTGCAATTAAGTCTCCAAGAGCAGTTCTAAGCCAGTACCATTCAAAATGAAGACAACTGCAAAAAGAATAGGACACAACTCCAATCCCTTTCTAAACCTTAATGGACTAAAAATTGGTTTGCCAGCTTGTAACAAGCTAGAAATTAATCACCAGATGATTACCTTGCATCCTTACCAAAATTACTTGAAGGCACAAAGCCCAACAAATAGCTATGTTTGTCTACCTATTCTTACTGTCATAAATAGGCCACATTCCCTGACTGAACTGCCTAGTTCAAAAACAACCCTCTAAACAAACCATATCAATCCAATCTAAAAAACAATCCTACCAACTTTTGTCAGTGAGTACAATCATAGCCTCTGCAATCACAACTTAACAAGCCAAGAGTCAACCTTAAAAAATATGAAATGAGCCATTTAATAACACTCTTAGTAGCAGCCAGAAACGAATGCCAGATGGAAAACTGAGAGAGACGGTGGAGAGAGGACCTAAGTTATTATATGCCTCTGCATAGGTGGGATTTGCAACAATAGCTTTCTCAATCATGGTTGCAGCAGCGTCCATTTTACCCTGTACATAATCAAGAGTTAAATCATTGACTGCCTCAAAGACACAGTGATTTTATTGGAGAATAACCATGACTACTGGACCTGGACAGTGTACACTACTCCAAGATTGTTTAATGACTGAGAGAAGTTCGGTTTGATCGATAAAGCTAACTGCATAAGATAAAAGGAAAAGTAAACAAATGTGCGGATACTATCATGCAATCAATTAATAAAGAAAGCAAGCATTGTCAATTGCCTGATAGCACTCCACAGCTTTATCAAGGTTGTCGCGGTCCTTGTATATCACTCCTAAATTGTTGCATGCCTCTGCACAATGGTGATTGAAATGGAAGGCAAGTTCATAAAACACGATTGCCTGCACAATAAGATGTTCAATAAATTTCTTAACATCTAACTTTGAGAAGCCTGAAATTTCTCTTCAAAGAAAGATTTAGAAGAAGAAAAACTAAACAAGAAGGCATTTTCAAATAGAAACTATGATTATCAAGATCAATTCCTCTCGTTAACAGTCTGAAAGAGAAAACTTGCCTAAAGAGAGGAGGGAGATAGAGGGAGGGAGAAAAAGAACATGGAGTTCTCATCATTGTTTACCATGTCAAACTTCAGCATTTCACCATAGGCAACACCTAAATTATACATGGCATCAGCATAGTGCCAATTGTAGTACAGAGCTTTTTTGTAGTATGCCACGCCTTGGTTGACATCTCCCTCCAGTTTAACCTAAATGGAAGTAACACGAATCCATTAAGGGGAAAAAAAAAAAAAGGCAAGTTCCTAACGAAATTGGAAACCAGATGATGCCCAAAAAACAATTACAAAAACCAAAAATGATCTCTATAAACTAGTCTTGTGGAAAGACTAGCTTATAACACAAATATAAGAATTTCCTTCCTTGTGCCTTATTCCAATGTAACAAGGAATTTCTGACCAACTGGAACTGAGTCCCCCCTACGTACAAGAGCTAGGAAGTTCATCATTCATTTCTTTCCCTTCAAATCAATTCAAATCAATGTACCCAATGAGTTGTAAATTGAATAATAGGGTCACAATTTGACAAGAAACAAGAAACATTTTCTTTGCCGGATTTGTGAAGTTGGGGTAGGGGTCAGATGGTTACCATGTTTTAGAACAAAGTAAAGATGGCATTTCGAGAGACAATCTAACATAAAACCACAATCTTGCCAAAAGTCACAAAACAAAGCTAATAATAAAATTATCAAGGGCACGTAAAAGCTTTAATAGGGAATAAACCATTGGACCATATAATGCGGTTTAGATACAACCAAAGGAAGATGAGCTAGAGGCAAACAACTTTATCAAAAACCACCTTTGTGCCCAAATCTGTCAAGGCAATTGCCATGTTATTCTTTGCGATCTCAAAATTTGGAGACACTGCCAAACATCTGCATAGCACAGCAACAAAGTGCACATGGCATCAGCAGCAGAAAGCTGCCAATCAAGTACCTAACAAACACTTACAAGTAGGCCGTCAACGGATTGGATTTTGACTAATCCGAATCCAATTTCAAAAGTCTAATCCAATAATCTAACGATTTTTTATTTTTGTGGTCCACATCTGAATCCATTAACAATCCGAAAATCCAATCCAGTCCAAGTAACTTATTATACCTAAATTTCAACTAACTTTTTTTAAATAATCACTTAATTTCTTTAATGTTTATATAGAGATATTTAAATAATTCGGATTGGATCATAATCGGATCGGATATATGTATATCCATGAAATATAATATATCGGGTTATCGGTAGAAAATATTAATTCATATCCGTCTAATCGGATTCAGATTCGGATCAAAATCCGATCCATTGACAAGCCTACTTACAAGGACCAAAACATCATAGACATTGCGGTGTAACAGGCAGACTACCTCTCATAACAAGCGATTGCGGACTCCAAATCTCCACGATTTTTATAGATAACACCCATGTTGCAATATGCTTCAGCATACATGGGCCTCTCTAGTGCAGCCTTCTCATAGCAATTTAGGGCCATGTCATATTGCATCATTTCAGAATAGACAACGCCAAGATTATAATATGCTGGCTGCACATACAACCGCAAGATATCAAAATTTATATTAGTATCAACTGAAATCAAAATATGCTTCATTTGGAAGTAGGAAGGGGAAGGAAGATGAAATTACAGCATAATGTGGATCTATTTTGATAGCCTCATAATACTTCTGTATCCCCTCCTGAGTGTTGCCAGCAAGCTTTAAGCTCGTTCCAAGATCTGTCAACACAATAGCAAGGCATTCTGACGCTGGTTTGTATGAAGGATCTGCTCCCAGAGCCTTCTGATATGACTGCATTAAGTAATATCATTACACAAAATTGTGAATCAAACATTTAAAATTCCAGATGAGCAGGAAAGTATGAACACATCACAATAATATAAAATAGTTACATGCAACAAAGCTCACACAAGAATGAGCGACAATCTATAAATTCATATTAGTTTATTTTAACCAATGCCCAATTAGTTTATCTATGATCAATTCAAAGTCAACTTTCCTGGATGATAACAATTTGACAACTCCATTCCCAAGCGAAACATAGCAGAGTAACATTTGGACAGAATTCATGTTCCCAAATTAAGTATCCCAGAAAATGGTTTCATATTCAAACATAGTATGTGCACTTAGAGGACCTAAGTCTACAACCAAGCTATTTAAAAGGTAATAGACCCAGGTAATAAGATAAAGAAACTTTTTTCCCTTATTCTTTAGAAGATCAGCAACATTAAATATGGAATTGCACCGAAAGAATGTATAATGCAGCATGGGTGAAGCCCGGACCCCATTTAAGCAATTATATACATGTATACATTCATAGACACATGAGACATGACTATATACATGCACATATCCCACAAAAGAAGGAAGATATTTAGTAGGAGCCTATTTATCTATATCTATACTACTCTAAAATGTCTACATATCTGAAAAACATTTTCTTCCACCTTTACCCTCCAACAATGCAAATATGATATTCTTATCCTTCAAAAATTAATTGCCTATTAAATCTAAATTATCACCTCTCCGCTAAACCTACTGGGTTCACAATCCTTCTCTCTCTCTCTCTCTCTCTCGCATTCGATACTCAATAAAAAATAAATAGACACTCCCCTCTTTTCATCTTCCCACTCTCTCTTTAATTCCCTCTTAGGTGACTCTAAAGATTTTCGGGTTTCTCTCTATCTTGTAAAACAAGCCAATGGACGACTAAACATCAATACAAGCCTTAGTCGCTTCATCTCTCCCTCTATCAGTTAGACAGATTTCTATTTCTTAAGATTATTCTCAGAGTTTTTGTTGAATTTTGTGTTTGTATATCAACTTTTGGTTCTACAGCACATATCCCATGTTTTTCCCTACTTTATTTAGTTCCCCCACTGTGTTACTTGCATTATATTCCTTTATTCTCTGTCCCTTTTCATTATTTTTATCCATGGTAGGATGGTGATATTCTGTCTCTTTTTTACCGTTAGTTCTAATCAATTTATTGATAGGTTCATTTTCTTTAATGAGTGAACCATCATTATTAGGCAGAATTACTCAACCACATGTACGAGTGCGGGGTTTTAGCAATGTTTTACAAGCTGATTTGTTCTTTACAATAATTGCAGTCAGATAACAATCACAACTAAAGTTGTGGCCACAATTAATTTTCGAAAATATCACAGATTTTATTAAGCATTCATTATAAGCACCATGAGTGTGTTGTGTAAAGAGTTTGATTGTTTGTTGACTTTCAGATCATGGGTGTTTAGTTGGTTATAAGTATTACTACTTTGATTAGGGTTTTAATATATTTTACGATTTATGAGTATTTTAGACTTTTTCTTTCTTTAATGTGTTTTGGATTGTTAATGCATGCTATGCTTTGCCCATAATGTGTAGGTTTTAGTTTCGATAGTGACTTCTACCTATTTGGATTTTGGTTGGTTTTATTAATTTCTTCTGGTTTTTATATGAATTGTTTTTGAAGATTTTAGACTTCTTTGATCTAATGCATTTTAGTTTGTTAATCTAGGCTATGACATGCCATGGTGAATACATTTTAGCTATTACCAACAACTCGTCTTGTGATGAAAGAATCTGCTCAACATTACTATCGAAGGTTGTTTATATAGAAACAATTTGAAAATAGCTATAAGCTACTGACTTATCGGGATGTGTTACAGTTACTGGAATGTAGTAGATCTTATGTTACAATGTCTTTCCAAATTCATGATCAAATGTTGATTTAAGTTGGACATAGCAAATTAGATCACAGATACTCTTCCTATGATTATCATTAATCTACAACTGCATGGCAATGGAGGATACAACATAAAATTGTTGACATTTGACTTTGTACCTGTCTGGTTATGCTTTCACCATTTGTATAGATGATTTAATTTTTAACTGCATCTTGATTTTTTTTGAAAAGAATATTTTGTAGATGCCTACACTTCATAAGTAGCTGTCCATACAGTCTGGAATGCTTGTGTTGCACCATAAAATTACATTTTTGTGTGCCAGCTATGTTATATTTGTTAGCTATTCTTTTTTCTTTTTCTAATCGCAACTGAGTTTGCCATAGTAATTTTTTCTTATGCTCTTGAGGGTGATCAGGAACATGGTGACAAATATTATAAAATACCTAAACATAGTCAATAAGAATATATAAGACATATTTTAATTAATGAAGGGTTTAGACTTTCATTAGTGGGCATGGTGGTGGTGGTGGTGGCGGTGGAAGGAGTTTTAATGGAGGCGGCAATGGACGGAGAAAAGGCAAACATGGTGGATCGAGAGGGTACTTGGACTATATTGTTCTACCCAAGCGAGACTTTGAAAATTGGTACCATTTGAGAAGAATTTTTATATTGAATGACCTTCAGTGAAGGCAATGACTAAGCAAGACACTGGCTCTAAGGTTAGGAAGATTACTGCCTCGAGGTCATTGCCAGATTGGTTTTGTTGAGCTAACACCAATTCAAACTCAAGGCTGCCGATGGCTTTAAAGGGTGTGGAAGTGTTGGCATTGCGAAGGCCAGTTCTGGAAAGACTCAAGGTCATTTGCTTTGGTTCATCTCATTTCCTCTAATTCATTTAGTGAAAATTAATGTTTTGTTTTAAATTTGATAGTAATTTTTCTATTCTTTTATGTTAGTTCCGAAAGGGCTCTACTTTGAATATCTTCTACTTCCATCTTTTTATTTTTACTTTCTAAATTTTTTAGTTCAGCTTGTGACAGGTATGGAATTTTGCTAATACTCTCTATATATAAGAGAATGATTGAATAGATTTGTAAGACAATATGTAAATACTAAAGCATATATAGTCGTCTTTGCTTAAAGATAGGAGGTATAATTACCTTTGCCCTTTGACCATATGGAATTCACATAACGTACAAAATAAAAGCAATTAAAACTCAAATTACAATTCGATATTTAATTTTACCTTTGATTGATATAAGATATGCTCTTATATCTTGTAATTTGGTTGCTTAGAATCAGTGGCCAAAATTTACTAAATGCATAGCCTTGATAAAAGAAGACACAATATTCTATTTTAACATGCATATAATTTAGAATCGTGCTATTTTTTGACAATCATACACTTATAATAATAAACAAAAAATTCATTCTGGTGTATTTGACAAACAATGGAAATCAGGCATTAAAATACAGATGTCAATCATGTGATTACAGTGAGTTTTGTTATTGGTTTTGGAAAATGGTTGAAGAATATTCAGAAAAGTTAAGGGTTGATCAAAAAAAGAGTAGGATTATATGTAATGCAAACTCATCATGTGAGATCAATTCTTCAAAATGGAACACGTGCAACGCACGTGTGCATTAACTAGTAATAACTAAATGCACCAACTTGTCTAGTAAATTCATTTAAGTGATCCACATTCCTCCTCTAGTACCACATCTCCCTCCCTAACAAGAATGTGCAAGGAGGAGCAAGAAGAATGGCAATAGAGTAACTATCGAAGCCACAAACATGGCAAACTCAATAAAAGGTGCATGGGAAAGATGAGAGGTAATAATGTTAAAAAGCTTATTCAAATTTTTTCCATCAACATTTGCATGACTTGAAGAACCAAACTCCAACTTCTAGTGTATACAACTAATCCTCCATCCCTAATTTCTGTCAAATAGATAAAAAATCTATTTTTCCCTTGGTCGTAAGTGTTTGTTGCATTGAGGGCTCTCTCTCTCTCTCTCTCTCTCTCTCTCTCTCTCTCTCTCTCTCTCTCTCTCTCTAGGAAATGCACAATCCCCTTGTTGAAACTTCGTGAAATATTCACACAATGCCCATAAATTTCAATTTCACGACTAACTTCGCATCTCTTCGTAAAATTATTGAATTAAAGAGGGTTGGTTTCTATCCTTAAAGACATAAGAGTTGTGGCCCGTCCATGCACTCTTGCCCAAGGTTTCTCATCACAAGAATCCCATCGGCTTCAATCCACTTATGGACAGTCAAACCTTAAGCATAGATTCTTTCAATAAAGAACTTAGTTCAATACATCTCCTCGAAAGTAATTCTAAAGGGAAGTAATTCATGAAAGCGCACATACAATGAAAAGAGACGCGTATCCACCTTAGCAAGGTCCCCTTCAAGTGCAGAATTAAAATATGAAATCATGTTTGAGTGCTCGAGTATGGTTCTACTCCAAAAACGACATTAATCCTTCCCTTCCTATCATAATGCTAAATGAGGATACTCTACTATGATTGAAACTGGGGCTTGAATGGCCATGGAAAAAATGCAGCCCAAATGAAGTCAAGAATGGCTCAGTCCACCCGATATAAACCTAAATGGGTAGATCCAATCCATCATAGCTAAACAAGCACAACTCTCTGTAGCATGAATTAAGGAAGTAAGTGAAGAAATTAAATAGCTGGAACTATTTTTGCACAAGTTTGACATAATGAGTGTGAGCAAGGATCAAAATTTTATTTTAGTGCATTGTTTCGCTCACCTAGGAAACAAAAACGTTTTCGAAACAAACTGGAAACGAATAAAAAATTTAAAAGTATATTTCTAAAATATTTCAAAACATTGGTCTAAACCTTGAAAATACTCAAACAATTGTAAAACACATGTTGAAACATCACAAAACACCTTGAAGCATCGGAGTTTCAATTCCATTACCGATTCATTTTGGTCTCCTCAGAACCGGAAACATTTCGTCCGTTTCAAAACGAAATTTTGATCTTTGGGTGTGAGGGAAGAAAATTAAGTATTAGAACTCCCTCAGTGTAGTATAAAACTAAAACATGAGCCAAGCATTGTACCCTTCCATAACAAGTTCATCCAACCAAGATGATCGCAGAACGCGCATCTGATAATCAAAAGTATGCTGTACATACTCAATATTAGCAAGAAATTTTAAGCCACCAACTAGGCGCTAATGTTTTCTACATAAATATATGCCGCACAACTCACCCAATCAAACACAAGCAAAATATCTCTCTTCAGGCTAGTAATAGTTTTACACACAATAATGCCCAGGAAAAGGAAAAGTTAATGTTGGACAGCTAAAATACCTCAACATGATGAACTACATTATTTTTCACTGTGATAAGTAACCTGAGTGCTGCAAGCATACCTCAGCTGCCTCCACCAGGCGACCCTCATCCTTGTACAGAATACCACAATGCGTGAGGGCACATGCATTTTGTGGGTCTAGTTTGATAGCTTCCGCAAAACTCTCGAAAGCAAGCCTTCCCATATTCTGCATTTGCAGGCAAATCCCCTTGCCAATGTTCGCCTCAACATTTCCACTATCTTTCTCGAGTACACCCTCATAAATAGTAAGCGCGTCGGCAAATTTGTTCCTAGAACGAATAATGTTGGCATAAGAGAGAGCATCCTTTCCTTCAAATTTCTTCTTTGTAGGACTAAGGCCACCCAAAGAGCCTCTCGTGCCAGAAGACGGCTTTACTTCTTTCAAGAAACCATTTTCTCCAATTGGGTTTGTCTCTTTGCCATTACCAGCACCCTTCTCTGTCCAGGCCATCTGGAAAAACTACAAGCTAACTTTACTGGAAAAAAATCATCAAAGTGCTGTTGGTTCCAAGTGCAAAGTTGATGTTGAGCCCATAATAACAAGAATATAAAACAAAATTCTTCGGAAAATAAAAATAACCCAATTCTATAACTAATTTCACTGCAACAACCAATTCCTACTATGAATTTTTTGGGGTTATTATCTGGTGCAATGTAAAAAGTGTCGGTTTAATATGCATGAGGTTGTGGATTCAAATTATGAGGCCATTCATTTTGTGTGAATAAAGTCAAAGTTAAGTAAATACCCATGCCAGCCAACCCAACACCCTCAATTGACGGATACCAATGCTTGATAATGACCCTAACCTTTCCCCCCCATGCAAGATATCATAGAGACGATAACCAATTAGTAGTTAACAATACAGGTGGTAGTCCAAAATTAGGAACTCTAGATTAATCATCTCCGCTAAAACTCAGCTAAGCTTCACTGTCACAAAGAATTGGTCATGCAGAAAACTAAATGATAGGATTATCCCGTATAGCAACTGTACCGATTCAAAACCATGGGCTAATTCAAGAATTCAATTTGAAACCCTAGTAACATCACTCAGCATTACTACCCAATGAACACAATACATGCAACCATCTGAATTCCGAATCCCTAAATTAGGGTTTTTGAGAAACATTACCTTGTGAATAAAATTCTAAACAACATACATACCTACGATGACAAAGAGGGTTTATAGAAATACAAAAGATAATCTAAACTTACATTCTAGTTTCAAATTAAAACAAAAAACTTACATTCAAATCCACAATCTTGCGATGCCTCCACTAACCCTGCACAGAGTGACATATAGTTGTGTGCTTCTCTGCGTGCGCGTGAGAGAGAGAGAGAGAGAGAGAGAGAGAGAGAGAGGTGGGGACGAGGGATCTCTCCGACACCGTGGTTTTAATGTATCCCAAGCACCGGAGTCCTCCCTGGTGTTCGTCCGTTGGCTACAATGCCACCATATACACAGAGAGGCCAACTGTAATTACCCCTACTTTTCTAACAATATTGCGTTAATGCCACTTTGCCCTCTCCTCAAATGAATTTAGGATCGTCCTTTGTTTCATCGATTGAGTGGTACAATGTTCGCAAATTACTAAAACAAGAAATGCCCTTTGCTGCCCTAAAATCTGAAAACGTTTTTTGTTTTTGTGTTTCCTTAAATTAATTTAATCACATTTTTCGTTTTTAAAGAGAATTAGCTATTGAAATCGAGCTAAATGTTATTTTATTTTAAGAAATTATAAGAAATCAAGCTCAATGCTATTTTATTTTGATATTATAATTAGGGTATTTCAATCAATTTATGCACATCTCGGTTAATATTACTTGCACTCCTATCAAATTAATGACACTAACTAAGTATATCTTCAATGAGCTCTCTCTATTTTCTAACGTATTGAAATTCGAATCGATTAAAATTCGATTCGAGGTAATTAAAATTTATTTTTTATGCATTAAAATTAAAATCAATTAAAAATTATATTTTTTTTATATATTAGAATCTAAGCTAATTAAAATTTGATTTGAACCTATTAAAATTCAATTTTAATCAACTCGAATTGAATTTTAGCCGCCCTGAATTTTAATACATATAAAATATAAATTTTAATCAACTTGAATCGAATTTTAATTAACCCAATTTTAATATGTAAAAAAAAATACAAATTTCAATTAACTCAAATCAAATTTTAGTTAGCACTAGAAACTCTGGTTGAGTTCAAATTGACTCAAATTTTAATAGGTAAAAAAATAAAATTTAATCAGTTCGAATTAAATTTTAATCGGTTCAATTTTTAATATATAAAAAAATAAAATTTAATTAACTCAAATTATAATCAAATTTTAAAAATTGCTTGAGAGTGTAAGTGAAATTTAAATATAAATTAGACAGAATGTAAGTGATGCTTTAGATAATAAAAAAAAAAATACCAAGGTGTAGATGATAATTACCTAAGATTTTATAGCAGTATCATTGCAGCAAGCAAGCTTACTTGGGCGAAACACCGAATCCAATTTACTTCAATTACTGCCTGAGTTCTTCATTTCTTTATTTATTTCACTTTATTCATTCTCTTCCTTTCATTCAACGTCGAATCATTCCATTGTTAGTTAGATCTCGGTGAAATTGCAGAAATGGCGATGACAATCGAAGGTACTCTCTCTATCTCTCTCTCCTTGATTATAAACTGAAATTTACATTTCTTGTAACCCTAACCCTTCAATTGATCTACTGAGATTCGTACAGCGGATGGACATAAATTTTGTTGCATATCTGACAGTATTGTTAAATTTTGAGGTTCAGGTTTGATTAAACGCAATACCTTTGAATGCTATTTGAATTTTGGTGGCATCAGTTTGAAGAAAAATTGAAGGTTGCGTTAATTGCTTTAAATAGAGAATCGCCTAGCAAAGTAAATAGCAAATGGCTATTCGGGTTTTTGATAATTTTTTAGTGTGTACAAATATGAAATTTATTACTCGGGTAGTCGAGAAATTTAGTCGGATTAAAGGTGTGGAGGACAAGCAGATGCATGAAAAAAAGTCATTGAAATGAAAATAAACCTTAAAATTCACTAGTGTGACTCATTGTTTATCTACTTCCTTGATGTCTAACCAAGTTGCTGAAGTTAAATCAAGGTGTTTATGGAATGGGGCCACTGATAACAGGCTGTGAATGTTTTTTTACCTACTTAGGGAGTGTTCATTGGGAGATTCCATTGGGGATGTTCCCTTGGAGTAGTACAGAGATAAGAAACACATTGAATATGACTTTGCTGGGACACACATTGAGATCCACATATACACACATAAATGCATACACAGATCCGCATATATACACACAGATTCACATATACACACACACACATAGAGACACATACAAAGAGAGACGCATATATATCTATGAATATATGACAATATATATGCAAATCTATGCTTATATATGCATATATATAGAGATCTATGTATATATATCTATAAAATAAAACAGGAGTGTATTTGAATTTTATCGCAGTCATATTTTTCCCCCCAAAACCATCACCAATCACTTATCTCACCCATCATCCCTTTGTCAGACTCAGACGTCAAATCACATAACTCATTTTTATCACATGTTTAATCATTTTTATATTTTCTCCCTAAAAATATCACATCATTCATTTCTATCATATATTTAATATTTGATTAATTTGTAGTTAATATATTTTGAAAAAATTTAATATAGTAGAATCGATTTTTTAGACGCTCGAATTTTATATTTTATCGTGCCTTTAGGCACGGGTTATAACCAGTGTATATATATAGTATAAAGTTAATATATACATAAATCTATGCTTGATAAAGAGAGAAGACGTCGGATTGAGCTTGTGAGAAAGAGATCTGATATGACAAGGTTTGTCTTCGTCTTTGTCGAACACCGTCGATTTTAGAGAGAGAGACAAATGAGGAAAAGAGACGGAAAATAAGAGGGAAAAGGGGGTTTTATAGTTAGCACACAAAAGTTCTCATTTTTGTTGCTAATGGGATTTGAAGGATGGACCTCATTAATGAGGGGTTCCTGTGTGCGCGTGTTCTCATTTATGGATGTTTTTGAAAAAATCAATATTTTCAAACGTGTTTTTGTTTTTTTTTTTTGTCCAAAAACTGAAAACAAAAACAAAACTGTTACCAAACGTACACTAAGCAACTTTAGCTGCTTAACCATTACTAACTTAAAGGCAACTGGACAACTTTTGATCATCCTGTAATATTAGAATGAATCCGAATGGAATTTTTTTCTGTTGTTTACCATTTATGCCTGACTGTTAGTGTGTGGTTAATTTACCTTAAATTAAAATTTTTTTTTCTGGTTTGTTATGCTTTTGGTGGATTTGACTATACATCCATGTTAGCTATTTTTAATTGATCTCATTTTTTCCATGTCTGGTACTAATTGTTTTCTGTTCATGTGCTCTGATATTGCTGGACTGTTGGTGCTTTGTTTGGCCCTCCACAGTGTAAGTTAGAAAGACAAATATTTGGCTTTGGTTTGTGTTTCTTCTTTAACCTAAAATTTTAATATAACACGTCAATATGCAGGCTTGCCGGTCTTGCTTTTATGTTTTCAGCCAGCATCCTGCTACAGATCCTGGTAGGTTTTGCAGTGACATTTTTTCCTGATGTTTCTGACATTGTCATAAGTCATCAAAATGAATATTTTAAGATCTCATTTAAATTTTCGTAGGGAGCATGCACTTTGTGGATTAGATTTGTGAACGATCTCAATATCAGTTGAAACTTTACCAATAAAGATTCATCAAATGGAGCTTGGTTCAAGCACAACTTCAGCTTGAGGGATATCAATGCTCAATTGAGTCAATTTTCAAGAGTTTAATGTGTCTTGGCTCTCTTGACTTATCAGCAAAAATAAAACCAAGGAGGAAGAAAATGGCCAGGGTTGGATGGGCTCACGTAAACCTTTAGACACGACAACAACTTGTCAGGAGTCGCTTTTTTATAAATTACTTCATTTTGCAAAATATAAACTTTTTGCACTTTAATCCTGGCAAATATAAAAGTTTTGACATTCTTAATATTGCTCAGCTAGGGCTGTGAATATGTCGCATTGTGTTGTCTTTCTAAGTAGTGTAAGTCATTTAGGTTGACCTACACCTGCCCCAATATAGTCCTGTTTACTCGGGGTTGTGTTAAACGGGTATGATTGCTCAATCTGTTAAGGCTAACCCATATCTGCAAACTTCGTATCTTATTTGTGTTTGGTTGGCGGGTTGTGTTAAGTGTTGCCAACCACCAACAATGTATATTTGCTGTCGACATAGTCTCGCCGTCTCATCTGGCGGTGGCGGTTGTTCTCTTTGTTTGCTCATTTTGAAGCATAGTAGAGTGTTTTAACCGGTTGAATGGCTGTTTGGACCCTTTCTGGGGAACCTCTCTTTAACACTGCGTATTGGTGTGGGCTTTGCAAGCAAGATGCTCTGCCGTACTCAAACAAAAATAAAACCACCCAAACTTTATTAAGTTTTAGAGAAAGTGAGAATGCTAATAGATCAGAAGTCAGATCTTGTTAAAAAGAGTTATGGCTGTGCTTTCCGCTTGGTTTTTGGCATTTTTTGGCTGTTCAGTAAACTGTTAGTATCTATTAATGAGAAGGATTTATTTCTTGGTTTGGGGATTTGTTTCTTTCTTAGGCTCTGGGCAAGGCCAGCCCAATAGCAAAGTCGACAAAGCCTTTGCTTTAGGCCTCAACCTCATGGAAGGCTCTAAGGTGTGTAATTAGCCCAAATAAAAGTCTAAATCTTTAAGAACATAAGGCCAACAGAAAGCCCTAAAAGTTAAATCCACAAATAAATTGAATGGTTTGGGCCATGTATCCAGCCCATTAAATATGTAAAACCCCACAAACTTAGAAGTTAAAAGAAAATTATATCAATAAAAAATCTACCGAAAGGTAAACATCCAATTCTTAACCGCTTATTCTCTCTCTCTCTCTCCCCCCCCCCCCAACGGTCATTGCATTAAACACTCTTTTTTATAGATCTAACACCACCAAAAAAATTCCTCTTACTTTTTGTAAGCACAAAACTGCCAATTTTGTGGGGAGGGTGATTATTCAATTTTGATGGTTTAGATTTGCTTTTAGTGTTAAATATTTTTTAAAAAATAAAAAATACTCTAATTGAGATACTAAATTATATAAAAAGATTTATTTATTTTTCAAATGCATTAATTATTTATTTTATAACTGCTTCTGCTGTGCTCTCTTGTGTGCTTTGCCTTGTCTTGTGGTAGTGTTTTGATCCTTCCTGTGGACCTGTGCATAAGATTTAGTTAAAAATGCATGTTTAGAAAACTGGTTACATGGACATGAAGGGTTGGGGGCAAAGTAATTCTGTAGGGAAGGTGGTTTTAAGCTGTTTTTATTTCCTTTTTTAGACAGCTTTATACACCCCAAAACGTCTATTGCTGATGAACCTGCTCTTTGCCAATTTGGAATATTTTATTGGGTGCTCACATATAAGCATCTTGTGTGTAAGTTATTGTTTGAGCACTTCTTATGGCCCCTTCCCTGGTATTGGTTGCAGGCTTGCGCAATATATAACAACTGGTGGCCAATGTTGTCAGGTTTGTTGGCATACTGCAAGTTTTTCTGTGTCGGTCTGATTTAGAGCTGCATTTGAAAGTTTGAGTGTGAAAAGAATTACTTGTTCCTGCAGCTCTCATGTATGTCCTGGTGCCCATGCCTTGTTTGTTCTTTGGTGGTGGGTCCACGCAGTTCTTAACCAGTCGGGATGGTGGGGGGTGAGTATCTCATCACTGAAGCATCTTTAAGATATAAGCACTAAGGCATGAAATGAGTGTTCAGCACATGGTCTTTAAATTGTATAGTTACCAAAAGTGGTAGTTTTCTACTTCTGGCTTCGACAAATCATATACACAAGCAACTCAAAACGTGAAGGTACTGGTGTTGGAATCCCGTATGCATGATCTACATGGGAAAGGGGGGAACACATCTGGGTAACAAAGTATGACACCCAGTTTAGTCTCCAATAATGGGGGTTTAGAAGGGGTTTGGTCAGGTACAGACCAAACTTTTGTCATTATTTGCACGAGGTCATTTGAAATTGCCAATGTTTTTAATTCGTACTTCTATTGTACCAAGATGAATATGGTCTTCAAGTATGTAGATACGATTACTACCAAAAATTATCCACCAAAATATATGATTTATTGGATGACATTCGTTTAGGCACAATTTTTTCCACAATATTATTTCAAATGCAACCACCAGACATATCCAATGAAGGAATAGGGAAATGCATTTTGGCTCTCCAGAAAATTTTAATTCTGCGCATAATTCTGTTGTTTTCTTAATTGAGTAGAGTGCCAAGTAGGAAATGCCTTTATCATTTACATCACCTACTGAAACCTAAGTTAAGGACTTTTTGATACCCTGACAGTTCACCCCTCCTTGGTACTGATATTGGGGCTTTGATGAGTTTGATGCCTGAACTTGTACCCTCACTCAAAAGCAAACCTGATTACCTTGTAATCCCTTGTTAGGTTGCGTACATCTCTTTCCTCCATTTTTGATATTTTTATTTCATATTTCCACTTTTGACTATCTGTAATTTTTTTTTATGGCAGCTGGATAGATGCTGCTAAGTTCTTAACAGGGGCATCGGCTATGGGGAGCTTAGCAATTCCTATGATTCTTAGGCATGCAGATTTGATTGGGACTAAAGCTATGTTGATTGAATTTACTTCTTTCATCATATTTGTCTGCACTGTTTTGTGTTTCCACCGTGCCAGCCTTGAAGAGGAGTGGTGATGAATATCAAGCATATCCCAGTGATACTTCTCTAAGTTGCAAGCTACTGATCATTGGACCGGCTTCTGACCAATCAAGGAAAGTGGAAAATTTACCCCCAACGTAAGCTGGAAAAACTTCTTTAATGAAGATTTCAGCAAATGCCCGAGTCGTTATAGCTTGATAGCTTTGATAAATCAAGCCTGAAGAAACTCATACCAAGTTGCATGTGCATAGTATTAAAACCTGTGAGAACTTTTTTAGGGTGCTTATTAGGACTGCACAGAAATTGAACAATCACATTGTAATCTATGTAGCATATGAGACTCCAACTCCATTGTGTAGGCAAGGGCATCAGAAATTGATCTTTTTTGGGTTTGAATGAAATGACCTCCTGTAAATCTTTATGTATACCTATATATTTTAAAGTTTCTGTGATGGTGGAGGTAAATTTAAGAATAGGATTATTCATAAATCATAACCTAATTCGAGCTAGTTTCATCAACATCTAGGTTGTACTTGGGTAAAAAAAATTTAAACCGATTAAACTTGGACAATACTTGTATTGGGGTCTTAGGGTTTGTTAAGTTTGAAGAAATAAACTCAATATTAGAGAAAGACGGAGAGTGGTTACAACTTAACCTACTCTCATAAAATCACTTGTATTTATAATTAACTCATAATATAAGAATTACACATACATCCTCTTGTATTTACACATAGTACTCTAACACTATTAACAATCTACACACAATACTCTAATACTCTTAACACTCCCCCATCAAGTTGGACTATATATATATCATATAATCTAAGTTTGGAACAAATTGTTGTAAGACGTGTACGACTCAATACTTTAGTAAATATGTCTGCAAATTGATCTTTAGATTTTACAAATTGAGTCATAATCTCTCTAGGTACTATCTTGTTTCGAATAAAGTGACAATCAACCTCAATATGTTTAGTTCTCTCGTGAAACACTAGATTAACAACAATATGGATAGCTATCTGGTTGTCACAGAACAACTGTAAAGGAAGTTGAACTGGAAACCCAATTTCCTGGAGGAAGTGTAGTAGCCAAGTCAACTCACTCGTTGTATGCGTCATTGCCCTATACTCAGCCTCAACACTAGATCTTGCTACCATTGGTTGTTTCTTACTTTTCCATGAGACAACATTACCTCCTAAGAAAGTACAATAACTAGTGGTTGATCTCCGATCAGAAGAAGATTCAGCCCAATCAGCATCTGAGAAACCTTCCACCCTAAGATGTCTATTAGCTCGATATAACAATCCAAGGCTAGGAGCACGTTTGAGATATCGCAGAATACGAATAACTGTCTCCCAATGTGGTACTATAGGACACCCCATAAACTAACTTACTATACTAACTGTAAAGAAAATATCTAGTCAAGTAATAGTGAGGTAATTGAGCTTCCCAACCAATCTGCGATATCAACTTGGATTCTCAAACAGTGCACCATCATCCATTAACAATTTCTGATTCCGATCCATAGGAACATCAATTGGTCTGCCACCCAGCAAACCTGCTTCCTTTAGCATGTCAAGTACATATTTCCTCTGAGATAAACAAATACCATGTTTAGATCGAGTCACCTCAATACCCAAGAAATACCTGAATTTTCTCAAGTCCTTCGTATGAAATCGATCTTGTAGGAAGGTTTTTAATTTGGCAATCCCCTTAGAATCATTTCCAGTAATTATAATATCATCTACATAGATCACCAATAGAACATATCCAACATCCGTCTGTCTATGAAACACAGAGTGATCTGTCTAACATTAAAGAAGATCAAACTTTAAAACTACATTTGAAAACTTACCAAATCATGCCCTCAGTGACTGCTTCAAACCATATAAAGATTTCTTTAACCGACATACACTCACGTACTCCCCCTGAGCAGTAAATCTAGGTGGTTGCTCCATATATACCTCTTCAACCAAGTCACCATGGAGAAAGACATTCTTGACATCCAACTGAAACAAAGACCAATCAAGATTAACAGCCAAATAAATCAAGATTCGAACTGAGAAAATTTTGGCAACAGGAGAGAAAGTCTCCTCATAATTAACACCATAAGTCTGAATAAAACCCTTTGCAACAAGCCGAGCTTTGAGACGCTCCACAGAACCATCCAGATGAAATTTAACAGTATACACCCAACGACAACCAACAGTTCGTTTACCCGGAATTAAAGGAACAAGATCCCAAGTCCCATTATGATGTAAGACATTCATCTCCTCTTCCATAGTTTTCCTCCAACCTGGATCAGATAACATATCCTGTAAGTGCTTAGGAATAAAGATAGTAGATAATTGAGAGGTAAAACAAGAGAAAACAGGAGATAAGACATCATATGAAACAAAATGAGCAATGAGATGATTAGTAACACATAAACGAGTACTTTTGCGAAGAACAATAGGTAAAGAATCTAAATTACCTAATGTACCGGGATAAGCAGACGGCAAGGAAGACGGTACAGGCACCTCAGGCGATGGGCGAGGATGACGAGAATATACACGAAGAGGTAAAGTGGATGGTGACACAGTGGGCAGCAAAATATCTGACGGTGAGGGAAGAGATGGTGATACAAGAGACGTCCCAAAGTTTAGATCTAAAGGCTGAGCAGGTGCCATAAAATATGGAATAGACTCCTCAAATGTGACATCGGCACTAGTAAAGTACCACCTTAGGGAAGGACTATAGGAACGATACCCCTTTTGTGTGCGAGAGTATCTAAGAAATACACATTTGGTAGCCCGAGAATCAAGTTTATCAAACCTAGGACCCAAGTTGTGAACATAAAAGACACACCAAAAAATCTTAGGAGTTAAAGAGAATAAGAGTTTACCAGGAAAAAGAACAGAATATGGACTTTGTCCATTTAACACAGATGATGTCATATGATTAATAAGATAACAAGCAGTAAGAACAACATCACTCCAAAAATATTGGAGAATATTCATCTGGAATAACAGTGCACGGGTCACTTCCAACAAATGACGATTCTTGCGTTTAGCAACACCATTCTGTGGAGAGGTGTATGCACAAGAAGTCTGATGAATAATGTCAGTTTTACTAAGATAAGCTGAAAAAGAATTAGATTCATATTCCCGAGTATTATCAGAATGTAAAATACGTATACGACAACTATATTGAGTTTTTATTTCCTTACGAAAGGTCTCAAAAATATAGAATAATTCAGAACGAGCTTTCATCAGAAACAACCATGTCACACGAGAATAATCATCCACAAATGACACAAAATAAGGATATTTATTAGATGAAATATTCTTTATTGGACCCCATACATCAGAATGAACCAACTCAAATGGACGAGACACATGATTATTAACTCTAAACTGAAATGACACATGGTGATGCTTACTAAGTTGACAAGATTCACAAGACAAAGATGACGCACAACTAAGACTGAGAACTTGACGCTTCAGATTCTGGATAGAGGGATGTCCAAGGCGACAAAGCCATTGAAAGGGAGACAATGAGGTTTGTAGAGCCCGAGTAGGTGAATCCAAATCAAAGTAATATAGGCCACCGGCTTCATGTCCTATATCAATCTTCATCTTCGTCCTAAGATCCTGAAAGACACAATAAGAGAGATAAAAAGTTACAGAACAATTGAGAGAACGAGTAATCTTACTAATGGAAAGTAAACTAAAGAAAAACTGAAGAACAAATAACACGGATGATAGAGACATATCAAAACTCAAGTGAGTAATCTCTAGACTTGAAACTTTAGAACAAGTATCATTGGCAAGAGTAACACTATGTGTGAAAAGTAGCAAACTGATAAGTAGAAAAAATATCAGACACACCAGTCATGTGGTCAAAAGTGCCAAAGTCTATGATCTAGGGACTGCGAGTGGAGGACAATAAACAAGTAAAAGCAGCACCTGACTAGGCAAAAGTAGCAGTGGAGGGAGATGGAACAGCCTGTTGCTGGGACAGAAACTAGGCATACTCCTCTCGACCCAATGTAATAGTAACTGATCCAGTGTTTGGTGGAGCTGACCGAGGTACGGAAAGCAACAACAGCTCCACCCAAACCACCGCGAAGCCAACGACCTTGATGACCACCACAGTCGCAGACCATAGAGGACTGACAACACCTCACCACTATGCTGGAACACCACGCTACCACCACAACAACGACCGTAACACCACAGCGCTACCGCCACCACAACAACAGCAGCACCACAACGCCACCACCACCACAACGACAGCAGCACCACAGTGCCACCACCACAGTAATTTTAATTTTTTTTTGTTACAACACAAACATACTAAGATTTGTATTTAGGATCGAATTACTCTGATACCATGTTAAGTTTGGAGAAATAAACTCAATATTAAAAAAAGATAGAGAATGGTTACAACTTAACCTACTCTCACAAAACTACTTGTATTTATAGTTAACTCATAATATAAGAATTATACATACATCCTCTTGTATTTACACATAGTACCCTCACAGTATTAACAATCTACACACGATACCCCAATACTCTTAACATGGTTAAATCCCTTAACTCTACCTCAGCTCAAATAAGAGAAATTGGATTCAACCTGAAATGAATTTGATTTTTAGCTCAAGTTATATAACCTGAGAATCATTCAAATTGAACCTCATTTTAGACTAAAAAATTGAACTCTAGAATTTAATTCAAATTTTAATTCGTTCTATGTCATCTTTGTTAGAAAATTTAGATATTAAGTTGAATATTATTGGTCCCAAAATTCGTTCCCTATTGATGATGGAGGGAATGATGATCTGGCTGCCAGCGGTTGATGCTCTTGCAAAACAAGTCGAAGGCCAAAGGTGCCCCGACGGTTGATCCTTTGATGATAAAGTCAAAAGGAGTTATGGGAAGAAGCTATATTTGGCTGTAAGTGTATTACTTACCTGAGTGATACATGATCTGCCCTTTTTATATAGGTTAAGCAATTGTACTATTGGAAGATCTTCAACAATTATTAGAATGAAGTGGCAACTAGAAGTGGAACAAAAGTAGACGCCTCGTTAGTATCGATGCCTCAATTGGTTTGAATTAATCAAGATGAGCCGATCGAACTACCAAGCTAGAGTGTTGGCGAGCAGGGAGTTCCCTACCGGAGCTCGCCTTACCAAGGTGTAAAGCTCACTAGCTAAGCTCGTGCTCACGTGTCCGGCTAATGTCAATTTTGCCTTTATCAGTTATCCCTTAATTCAAACCATTGGATGACTTGCATCATTTAATACACCTGTCTGTTAGGTCCTGGAAAAATGGGAACATTTGTTGTGCATATGCAACCGCCTAAGGAGCCGTTGTGGGTCCAATGTATAAAACCTTCTCCCATTTGCTACATAGGACGTCTT